CCGGCGGGCGGGCCTAGCGGGGAAGAAGGCCTGAGGGGCGGAGCCGAGGCCTTCCGCCGGGCCGGCCCTACGCCGGCTTTTCCGCTTCCGGTCACGCCGCACTTGCGCTCTGGCCTCCGCGGGCAGCGTCCAGCGGGGTCTGGGCGGACTGGAGCTTCTTGACCTCCGCACGTCCCCGACGGGCCACTGCGGCCCCGCCCCACTGCCCTCCAGGTCCCCGGCCCGGGCACTTGGTGCGCGCCCGGTGGCGGCAGAGAAAGCACACAGTAGGGGGCGTCGGGAGGCTACTCTGGATTTATTAGTGTCGCATCAGCACCTTCGAATAGTCCACGTGCCCCATCGTGACAGATTAGACTCTGCTCCCCCAAAGGCTATTTACAAGAATCCTGTTTTCCATTACAAAAGGAACAAAAAAGCTAGCAGCACGCATCCTCGAACCGAACCACACAGGGCATGTGGTGAGCGGTCAGAGGAAGTGTCTGGGAGGGACGCCAGGAAAGCACCCCTCTGTCTGGGGGCCAGCGCTGGCCACGAGGTGGCTTGTCTGCAGCCAGCCTCGGGCCCCAAGGCGGGCGAGCGGCTCCCTGTGGGGCAGCCCTGCTGTGAGCAAGACCCATCGTCTGGACCGGGCGTGGCCTTTACTACTGGCTGCCGCGGGGACCTTTGTCCCCCATCTCAGGGGCTTTTCTTCCTTCCAGGGGCCAAGTGCTTCCAGTTCATCCTCAGATCAGCTCCATGAGGTAGCAGGGGAGTGTGGCCGTCCCCGCGTTACTGGGGAAACTGAGGCACAGGGGTGCGCACAGCCTCCAAGGGATCGTGGCTGGGGCCTTTGCAAGAACCCAGCTGGGTGGGGGTGGCCCTTGGGGCTGGTGTGTCCCAGCAGTGTGCCCACAGCTTGACTTCCCCTCGTGGCCCCAGGCTGGTGATGCAAGCAAGGGGCACCCCATGTCTTTCAGATGGGCAGGGCCCTGTCCCTGGGGCCAGGACTTGGTAAGATGGGGTTCCACGTGCTCTGCCCAGTGTTCTGTGGCGGCATGACCTGTCCTGAGGTCCAGGGTCCCCCAGACCTGCACCTGCCCTGGGAGGGGTGTGTGGGGGTCACAGTCACTGCTGTGGGGCCTGGCGGGGCAGATGGCAAGGCTGAGAAGCCTGGGGTTGGGGAGGGGAGACTGGAAGGCCAGGGCTGGGCCTCCTGAGGTGCAGAGCCCCCGAGGGTATCGAGGGTGGTGTGCTGGCAGGGAGAGCGGGGCCTATATTTAACAGCGTTAACACATCTGCCTGCAAGGCTGGAGTTTATTTTTGGGGGGGGAGGTGTGCTGGGCCCAAAGGAGGGTCCCGGCCCTGTGCCTGTGGCCAGTACCCAGCGCCCCAGGATGCACACTGGCGCCCAGGAGGGGCTGACTGAAAGGGCAAGGACCCCCTTGTTGCGGGAGCGCTGGGGCAGAGGCCCAGACACACTGCCTTTGCCTGGCAGCCACCCGCCAGTCTCATGCTGGTGAGCAGAGGGCTGGACGCTGGCAAGGGTCTGTGGGGCAGGCGCACAGGCCGTTGTCCAGGCCAAGGGGTGTCCCACGGTGACGGCTACCAACGGGCACAGGGGCCTGGCCACAGGGTGGGCAGCTAGCAGGCGGGCTTGGGGTGCCCGAACACACAGATGGGGAAGTGCCTGACGTGGGACGACCACTGGGCGGCCAGCTGGAAAAACTTGACGTCGTTCCACTCCACGCCATCGATGAGGACTGCAGGAGTGAGACCGCTGGTGGCTGCCGGGCTCAGGCAGAGCCACGCGGCCGTGGTCAGGGCTCCCCACCGGCCCGCTGCCCCTGCAGCGGGAGCCAGTCCTGCCCTGGCTGCCCCCGCCTGCTGGGCTCGCGCACAGCTCACCCCGAAGCATGGTCTGCTGCTGCCTGGCCGTGCAGATGAGCCGGCTGATGCCCTCGACGCGCTGGCTCTTGGGCTCCGCGTCCTTGTCCTTCGTCTTCTTGGGCAGGAACATGACTGGAAGGAAGGGTGGGGCTGAGCCTCCGCGCTAGCCGGGGGACAGCCCCCCCAAGGCCCCACAGCCCCCCACCTCACCCTTCTTGTTCTTCTCCTTGGTGACCACAGTCATGGACATGGTAGGCGTGGCTGCAGCCTCACCGCTGCTGGGCAGCCTGCTGACCTGGAGAGACCGGAAGGTGCACCTGAGCGTGTTCTTGGCAGCCGGCAGGTCCCTCTTCTCGGCGTCCCTCCTCCTGTCCGCAGGCGGGGCTGCGACCCAGTAGTCCACCTGCAGCCCCATCAGCTCAGTGCCGGCGCCCTGGCTGTGAAGCAGACAGGCCTCGCTCTCTGGCCTCCAGCTGCCCCCAGCTTCAGGGCCACCCAGAGTCTCCAGGAGTGCCTGGCGGCCACCCCCCCACCCCCCGGTCCAAGGTCAGTGGCCTGAGTGGCAGGTAGCTGTCGCGGCAGACGGTGAGGCCACTCCCCGGCAGCCCCAGCCCCTGTCCACTGTCAGCTCCCCGCCGGCCGTGCCGAGTCACCCACGGCCCGAGTCCCTGGAGCACGCCAGTCTCTTGTTCTCCCTCTGCAGGCCCCAGAGCCAGCAAGGTGGCGTCCAGCCCCTGCCCCCGCCCACCCTGGGCCCACACCTGGCCAGGGGCCCACAGACCGGCATCCTCCAGTTGGGCGACAGCAGGGACAGTGTCCCACAACGCTAGCCCATCGAGGACAGTTACCTGGGGGAGGACAGGCCTCCGCTCACCGAAGGGGAGGAGGGCGGGGTGGGCGAAGCCTCCTTGGCTGCAGGCGACGTGGATGGTGGGGTGGACGAGAGCACGCAGGAGCCCGAGGGGGCCGCGTCATCTGAGTCACCTTGAGAAGGGCCAGGCGGCATGTGAGGCCCGCTGCTGTGCCCAGGGCTGTGGGCGCCCCACCCTGCAGCCCAGCCCCGAGTGGGGACAGCTCACCTGAGGTGGCCGAGGAGGGTTCCACTATCCCAACCTTCACCACCTGCAAAGCAGGGGCGCTGGCTAGCAGTGGCCAGGGTGTCCCCAGACCCCCTGCCCAGTGGCTCTGGACCCTCCTGCGTGGCTGAGCAGAGCCCAGGATTGCCCTGTCATGTGCCATAGCCACCTGTGTTCAGGCACCCCCCGGGCCCTCGGCCAGGCCGGCAGCCAGTGCTCTGGGTGCCGCGGCCTCAGGCAGGAGGGGCTGCCATTCTGAGAGCTGGCCCAGCCCCGCAGGCCCCAGGTTCCAGCCCTTCGGCATCTGCCCACCAACAGCCTCTGTGACAGCCATTCCTGGGGCCAGGGGTCAGGGTCCTGCCCGTCAAGGGAGGACCCAGGCCTGTAACAGGATCACGGGACACGGTGGCCCCGCCGTCCCCACAGGCAGCTCTGCCCTGCCTTCACGTGGCTGTGGTGGTAGGTGCGCTGGGCTCCCTCCACCACTGTCACTGGCCAGCACACATGGGCCGCGGCCTCACCACTCAAGGCAGGCGGCTGGAGGCCATGCCAGAGTGGGGAGAGCCCCAGCACGGGCCACACCCCACGGGCTGCCTCGCCCCAGGGAGGCTCCTGGACAGCCTGCACTGGCACGGGAGGCTGATTCTGGAAGGTCTTACGGGGGGCAGCCGCCCGGGGAACTCACCCCAACAAAGGGGACGAACTTCTGGGAGGACTCCTCGTCTGGGCTAGAGAGAACAGACAGTCACCCATGGATGCCCTCTCCCGGCCAGGGGCAGAACATGGACCCCCGCCCTCCTCCCATGCCGCCCTGGCCAGCAGGGCGCTTCCCTCAGCCCAAGAGGACAACAGCCAGCCTGCACCAGCGGCCATGGGCGGCGGCACCCGGCCTCCAGGGCAGGGCCCTGCTCAGCCCAGGGCCTGGGCTGGGTCCCACGGTGCCCTCCAGCCGCGGGCTGAGGTGCCCAAGCGGGCTGCAGCACATCCCACCTAGGAGAGGAGCCACCCGGCCCTGCCTGGTCTGAGACCAAGTTCTTGGCCAGGAGTTGAGGGTCAGGGTTGGGCATGCTCTGTGCCCCAGTGGGGCCAGGGCAGGCAGTTTCTGTGCCAGCCCCCCCACTGGGCACGCCCTGGGGCTCAGGTGGGGCTGCTCCATGCCGGCTGCCAGTGCCTGGGGCCCAGGCTCTGTGCAGGGTGCCGCTGCCCCCACCAGCCACGGCCGACGCCTCTGAGGATGACCCCACTCCCGAGGTGGGCGGCAGAGGCCGGGCTGGGGCCTTGCCCAATGCCCTCAGCCCCGGCACAGACCTCTGCTGGCTGTGGCACAGAGGGAGGCGCCCACCCTGGCCCTTGTGGCCACCGGCCCCGGCAGTCACCCCAGACCCTCCCCAGAGCAGCAGAAGCAGGGGAGCCCTGCCAGGACCCCCACGGGCACCAGCGAAGTAGCCAGCAAGCCTCGGGCCATGCAGACACGCCCAGCCAGGCTGTGCTCGGGGCCGCGGTCACTCACACATGTCCTTGGCGGGCCCCCGCACCGCAGAGGTCACACGCAGGCCCGGCTGTACCCGCCCCTGCTCTCGGCCCCGCCGCTGGCGTGGGGCCGGGGTGGCCGCGGCACAGGAGGCTCTGCCGCCGGGGCCTGGCCTCATGCCCTGACGGCGCGGGAGAAGCGCTGGGGCCACCCCTCGCTGCCCAGCGGCAATGACCCCTGGACAGACGCAGCTGGCCAGGCGAGCGCGGGCGGGACCGTGCACGGGGAGGGGCGGGGCATGCGTGTGCAGGGAGGCAGCCCGCTGGTCCTTGTCTGCCAAGGCTTGTTTAGCAAAAGGTTCGTGGGGTTCAGAGGCTCCCCTGCTCCTGGGTTAGCGCAACGGCAGCTGGGACCCCCATGCGCCCTCAGGGCTTTTCCAGAGAGCAAGCGGCCAGAGGCCCAGTGGGCCTGAGGGGAGGCGCCGGGGCAGGGCTGCCGCGCCTGGCTGTGAACACGCAGGTCTCCCTCAGGCGGCACAGCCTGCAGCCCCCCAACCTGCTGGGGGAGCCAAGGAGCACACTGGGGAGCCCTGTGGACCAGGCAGGGCCGGCCAGGGGCACCCACTCCTCATCCCGGGCAGAGGCTCACAGCGGGTGAGGCAGGTAGGCCTGGGGGCCCAGGCTGTGGGCTCCAGGGCCCCGTGAGGGCCCTGGGGCGGCAGAGGCAGGCCCCCAGCACCTCTGATGGCAGCCGAGTCCCTGGGGCCAAGGGACCAGGGGCCTGGCTCTGGGCATCGCTGCTAAACAGCCTCAAAGAACAGCATGGGGCAGGCCAGAGACAGCGGTACCTGAGAGCAAAGTCAAAGTGGAAGTTCCTTTTCCTTTCAGGAAGCCACCGAGAGAAGACAGACAGGTTACGGGGCTGGGGGCGCCGGGGGGATCCGGGGCCTATGCCCGGACTGGGTTAGGAGCTCCCCCAGCACCCCCCAGCCTTCAGCTCCACTGTGTTGGTCGCGATGGGCAAGATGCAGTGGCCCTGTACCACAGCGGGGGCCTGGGCCCATCAGCCTGGTGGGGGGCGAGCGCCAGCGGGAAACCCGAGCCCAGAGGAGCCGGGGCGCAGCCTGAGCTGTGGCCGCGGGCTTGCGTGCGGACCAGCCCCACACCTGTCTGAGGGGCGGGCCGGACGGCCTGCAGGTGGGCCCCTGGTACCTCTTCTGCTTGTAGGTCAACATGGCCTCCGCGATGGGCAGCTGGTGGGCGCAGTTGGCCCCCGAGATGTACTGCGTGATCCTCGACACGATGTCAGGCGTGTCCTGCACTGCAGGGCGGCGGGCGGGCAGGCGGGCCGGTGGGTGGGTGGAGGGTGGGCCCTGGCCGCCTCGCTGCCCACCCTGCCCGCCCGCCCCCTCACCTGCGCTCTGGGCGCCCAGCCTGTTGAACAGGTCCCGCCAGGCTAGGTCCTGGAAGAAGTCGTTGTAGCGGTCGTCCACGGAGCCCAGGTAGCGAGCGACGGGGTGGGAGCCTGTGCCAGCGCGAGGGTCAGGGGCCCTGCGCGGCACCACCCCGGGCGGCCGGGCCCCGAGCGGGAGTCCCCCGGTCACCCCCCAGCGGGCCGCCAGCGCGGGCCGTGGCCTCACCCAGCGGGATGACCAGGAAGCGCATGTAACCCAGCCAGTCTGGCGTCTTGTGGGTCAGCTGCTCCACGAACAGCCGCAGCACGGCGCTGAGGTAGTGCTGCGGCCCGGCCACCGCGATCTTCACGGGCGCGGGAGGCTGCGCGTTGCAGTTGCAGCTGGGTCCCGGCAGGTGGGGGGGGCACAGGGGCCTCAGAGGCTGCCGGCCCGAGGAGCCCCCGGC